AGTAAGGGGGAGGAGAACTTTATCTCTTTAAAATTTTATATACTATTATGTTTATTTATTTATGTTATTTTTTATGTGTATTTATTCAGTGGGGTGTCCCTAACCTCATTTATTTGCTTAACCTATGATTATTTTTATCCATATTAATTATTAAGGTGTTCATATTTTATATTGCTTAATTATTTTATAATGATTGTCATTTTTATTTATATCATTGATATTCTTAATATATTCTTTTTACGTAAATATATTTATTATAAATATATTTATAATCAACTATGATATAGTTGTGATATCTTGGACTCGTCTTGTTGTTATTTCTTTACGTATTTATGAAGATAAATATTGTTCTATGGCCATAGAAGATAAAGTTTGAATTATTTGTAGCTGGAGGTTTGACCTTGGGGATTTAAATGAGTAAGGAATGAAGGTGAAATATCCTATTGTTGGTTAAGGTGAAATATCCTTTTGTTGGTTGGTGTTATGATGATGCTCATTTATCCTGACTAGTCACTACAAGTATAATTCAAATTTTATTGTATCATGAAAATTTAATATATGATCTGTATATATATTTATATATATATATATATATGTTTAATATTGATTATAAATAATTTTGTATATACTTTTAAGTTATTGTATTTATTGGATATTGTGATATTGTTCTCACTCCTCTCTTTTCTTTATTTTTAAAATTAAATATATTATAAAATAGATGGATCTACTTGGGATTCCAGATCATTTTGCAGTTGTTATCGTTGTTGTCTTCTTTGGAAGGAAATGGAATGTGGGGGCTATTTGATGAATCTATTATAATTTTATTTGTTATTGTAAATTTATTCCCACTATCAATGTAAATATTTTGTAATAGAAGTGAAAGAAAGGAATATTGTGTAAAAGAATACATTATTGTAAATATATTACAACGATATGTCATGTAATAAATTTACAAAATATTATTTTTCTTTATCTTTATCTTCAAAAAAAAAATTGTTAATGATATAATTGCGAAAATATTATATAAGAAAAGATATAATTATTATTATATAAATCAGACGTTACAAAAGATGTTTACAAAATAAGTGAAAAATTATTATTGATAGAGCAAATAATTAATTTTTTGTATATATATATTTTTTTTGTATTTTTTAAGAGATATGATGATGGGAAACGATTAATATACAATAAAAGAGTATAAATGTCTAAAAAAAGTGAAAATCAAAGGGAGGTATTCAATTTATGTATAATAATAATAATAATAATAATAATAATAATAATAATAATAATAATACAAAAGGAATTTTGTGTCTCCGTAAATTATTTTAAAAAATAATAAATAATAAAAATTATATAAAAATGAGTGATTATTAAAAATGTATGTGATTATGGAATGAAATTTATAGAAAAGAATAAAAAAAACTTTGTAATTTGTAAAAAAAAAAATAGTTATAATGATAAAATTGGACAAAACGTTGTTTATACTAAAAGGAACAATCCCTTTTATTATAGTGAAAGATTATACATACAAACATATATTTATTTTATTTTATCCTTAAAAGATTGATGATGAAAAAAGATTAATACATAATAAAGAAATATAAAGGTTTAAGAATATGAAAATTAAAGAAAAGAATCTCCTTTACATATTAGTAGTGTGTACCATGCATGAAACAAATTAAATGTGGATGAAAAAGTAATACTATTATTATTTTAAAATTAAATATAAAACTTCAGATGAATAATAATAGATAAAATATCATAAAAGAAAATATTTTAGCTTCCCTTAATAAAATTATCCAAAATTTATTATATTTAGCTCATTTTTTCAAAAAAGTTTAGAAATATTATTATATTGTAATGATTTTTAAAATCGTATTATCTTTAAAAATGTTTAACTTCTAAACAGTAATATAAACACATGAATCTCCTAATTGAAACAGAATTTACTAATACTTAACAAAAAGAAATTGCTAATAATAGATAAGAATGACACCTGTATGGAACAATAAATTTTTCAAATCTTCTAAAACATCAATTTTTTTTAATGTTAATTCCAACTGGAAAGAATATGACCTTTTTTTTTCACCCTTTCATATCATACTTAATTTATTTATACAACAATTCACTACATTTTATCTCCTCACACATTATTTATCTTTTAAGCTATTATTTCTTTTTCCACACATTATTCATTAATTTCACTTCTTTATTTGTATGAAGTGTAACATCCCAACTTTTCATACTTTATATAAATAATATTTTTGAAATTATTTTAATATTTAATATAGTTATTAAAGAATTTTGATATTATTTAATTAATTATATGAGCTCTATTTTATTTATGAGACATGATTTATAATGATTATTTTGATTAGTGGTATATATAAGTAACTTTTATGAAATGTATTTGTAACGTAGTTAGTTGACTGGAATGGGGCGTTCCCAAATTGGAACGAGTCGTTCCAAACTACTAAAACAAAGGTGATTTAGTAGCCTAGAATGGACCGTTCTCAAACTGGAACAGGCCGTTCCAAACTACTAAATAGGCTTATGAATCTTGGACTGGAATGAGTCATTCCAAAATGGTCATTGCGAATTAAATTTAACTCCAAAACGGGCCGTTCCGATTTTAGAACAGGTCGTTCTAAACGTGCCAGAACGGGCCGTTTCGATTTCAGAACAGGCCGTTCTGCATGTGAATTTTACACATGATGAAGGAGTCCAGAACGGGTCGTTCCGGATTTGAAACAGGTCGTTCTAGCCACTTCAGACTTCTATAAATAGAGGTTGTGCAGTTGAGGAGAAGGAGAGGTTTTTAGAGAGAAGTTTTAGAGAGAAGGACTCTGGACTAGGAAGCTTGCTTTGGGTGGATTGAAGTCCCAGGTTGTGTAACACCCCGAATTATCTACTAATACAATATTAATTATTATTTATTTTTATATTTATGAAGATTATTTTTTATATAGTTATTTTAGTTAATTAAAGGGTTTTTATAGAGTATTGTAATGGTTTGTAATAATTTAAAATTATTTAGGAAAATTTTTATATAAAATCATGTTTTAAGGCCCAGAACGGGCTATTTCAAAAAGTGGAACGGGTCGTTCCAAACGATGAAAGTAAGTTATTTTTGAAGTAGCAGAACGGGCCGTTCCAATGATGGTCAATATGTGTAAAAATGAACTCCAGAATGGGACGTTTTGATTTTAGAACGAGTCGTTCTACTTTTTGAAAACGGGCCTTTTTGATTTTAGAACAGGCCGTTTCAGTTAAAAATTTTACATATATTCGAAGGGTCCAGAACGGGCCGTTCTAGATCCAGAACAGGTCGTTCTGGGTACCCCTGAATGCCTATAAACAGGAGGCAAGGGGTGAAAAAAATTATAATTGACTGAGAAGGTGAAAACTTAGAGAGAGAAAGAGAGTGAGAAAGAGAAAGAGAGAGAGAAAGAGAAAGAAAAAGAAAGAAAGAAAGGGAAAGAAAGAGGGAATCCAGAAGAGGAGGTCCTGCTCAAGTTTCAGCTTTTGCGTATCCAGGTAAGGGGGAGTGAGAAACCTCGCTCGGGGGTGTGGGAATAATTGTTGGATAGTCTAGTTGTCGGATTGGCCCCCAATCCCTTGCTTGTTGCATGTTTCTATGAACATGCAAAGTATTAATGTGTTCTGTTTTATTTTTTATTTTCTCTACTTTGTTCCTTGTTGAAAGTAATAAATGAATATGTAATTAATGTTAAAAATAAATAAGTTTTAATATGAATAAGAATGCTTTCTGTGGATTCCTGTACGAACCTTATGAGGAATAATTATGACATGACTATGTGAAATATGCACCAATGACATGAGACATAAGAATGGACTATTAAGATAAGCTATGATTATGAGAATATGAAAAATGATGACATGATGTACAAAATGAAATTCTGTAATAAGTCAAATGTTGAGTCAATGAAATAATGAATGTATGACATGCATCATATGCATATATAACTCCAGGTGTGCCGTTGAGGCCGCATACCAGTGATGTAACCAGGTGTACCTTAGGGTCACCAGTAATGCTAACAAGGTGTAACTTAGGGTCACCCACGACGTAACATGCTAACGAGGTGTACCTTAGGGTCACTAGTGATGTAACAAGCTATGAGAAATGTGAAACTTCTATACAGCGCCACATGCATGCATTTATGAGTCGAGTCTATGACATCATTGCATGATAAATGAGTGTATATGTGATATTGATTATGTATGTGTATTGTATATGTTGTGTGTGTGTGCTATCTAACATTTATTTCTGCACCTGAAACTGAGTGAGATGTTTCTCACTCCCTTGTTGTTCTTGTATATGTTTAAATTATGTTGCAGGTGATCATCATTATGAGGATGTTGGTGATGAGGCTTAAGGCTTCAGTTGGGCATGCTCTAATAGGATGTGACATCGGGCATAGCTAGGCTTAGTTAGGATGTTATTATTTTAAAATCCTTAATTTCCTTTTCTTTTGTAATTTTGAACGTTCTTGATAAAAGACCAAAATGTGCATCGTTTTCATATTATTTTTATTACTTGATTTGAAAGTTATAAATTAATTCCTAACTAGGAGGCACTGCCACCTTTGCTGGAATATTAATCTATATTTTTCTTTATATGATTTCTTTAGTTTTGAAACTTACATGTTGACTTTTTATGATTTATGAGTTACGAATGTGAATCTTCTACCTTATGATATTTGAGACATTTATTTTATCCATGAAAGTGGTTGTCAACTATGAACGATTTTATTTACTCAAAAAGAAAAAGAAAAAAAATTATTTACATTTATTGTGTATTAATGTTGGGATAGAGGGTGTCACATTTAGTGGTAAGCAGGTCGATCCAATCGACCGAGAGTTATGTGTTTACTATGCTTATTTGGTAAATGAATAATGGACTGAATTGATTGTGGAACTTGTTGATATGCTAGTGTGATGATTGATTATGTTTATTAATTGTATTATTTTCTTAGACTATGGCTGGTAGAAATGATCGTGCGATTGCCGATGCTCTTCAAGCATTAGCACAAGCTATGAATAATAACAATAGGACTGAAGTTACTCCTAACTGGTTGGAGCAATTTCAACGAAATCACCCACCTACCTTTAAAGGAGGATATGACCCAGATGCTGCTATGAATTGGCTAACAGAAATAGAGAAAATTTTCAATGTTATGGATTGTCCCATCGCTCAGAAGGTGAAGTTGGCCACATTCATGTTGACTGCTGATGCTCACTTTTGGTGGGAAGGAGCACTTCGGAGGATGATTGATGGAGGGGTGCACTTGAATTGGGACAACTTCAAGAAGGTCTTTCTTGAGAAGTATTTCCCGGATGATGTGAGGAGTCGGAAAGAAATGGAATTCCTTGAACTGAATCAAGGGAATGACATAGTGGCAGAGTATGCTGCCAAATTTGATGCTTTGGTTCGTTATTGTACACACTACCATGGTGAGGGTAATGAAAGAGATAAATGCATAAAATTTGTAAATGGTCTGCGTCCTGAGGTGAAGAATGCAATTAATTATCAGGAGATATATCATTTTTCCACTCTGGTCAATAAGTGCAGCATTTAGGATCATGACAACCGTGCTCGTGCTGCTTTCTATAAAGGAGTTGGAGGTCCTATCCGTGTTGTGAGTTCTAGTACTCCGGGTATGAATAAGCCTTACTACGCTCCTACTAAATTTCAAGGGAGTAAAGCTGCTGCTAATAAAAGCAAGTCATTTACTAGAGGATCCACTATTAGTGCTACTGGAGGTGTTGGAGGGTTTGTGTCCACTCCTTCAGGAAGATGTGGGAAGTGTGGACGTGTTGGTCATAATCAGTCTGAGTGTCGTGACAAGGAGGTTACCTGCTTCAATTACAGTGGTAAGGGTCACATCAGCACCCAATGTCCTGAACCACGAAGAACACATGTTATTGGATCGAGTTCGCAAATTGAGCGTCCAAAGTCTGTAGGGAGAGTATTTGCTCTTAGTGCTGCTGAAGCTGCTCGGTCAGAAAATTTGATACAAGGTACTTGTTTTATAGCTGAGACTCCTTTTGTTGTACTATTTGATTCTGGTGCAACTCATTCCTTTATTTCTGTCTCTTGTGTCCAAAAATTGAATTTGTCTGTATCTTTGTTAGAGTTTGATTTAGTTGTTGAAACCCCTACTAATGGTCCTGTGACTACATCCCTAGTATGTTTGAAATGTCCTTTGATAGTTTCTGATAAGCAGTTTCTAGTTGACTTAATTTGTTTGCCTCTTAGTCAATTAGATATAATTCTTGGTATGGATTGGTTATCTTCCCACCATGTCCTTTTAAACTGCTTTGATAAATCTATTTCCTTTGGTGAATGTAAGAGTACGGAATTTCTTAGTGCTGCCGACATTGAAGGTATGGATTGGTTATCTTCTCACCATGTCCTTTTAAACTGCTTTGAGAAATCTATTTCCTTTGGTGAATGTAAGAGTACGGAATTTCTTAGTGCTGCTGACATTAAAACTTGTTTAAAAGACAATGAAAAAGTGTACATGATCTTAGCTTCTTTAACACTTGAGACTGATAGTAAGCTAGATGAGATTCCCTTAGTGAGAGAATTCCCAGAAGTATTTCCTAAGGATGTGTCTAGTTTACCACATGAGAGAGAGATTGAGTTTAACATAGACTTAATACTAGGTACCTCACCCATATCTATAGCACCCTATAGGATGTCCCTTAAAGAGTTAGTTGAGCTTAAGAAACAAATAGAGAAACTGCAAGAAAAACAATTCATTAGGCCTAGTGTCTCGCCTTGGGGAGCGCCTGTCTTATCGGTTAAGAAGAAAGATGAGAGCATGAGGTTGTGCGTAGACTATAGGCAACTGAATAAAGTGACCATTAAGAAGAAGTATCCCTTACCTAGAATAGATGACCTTATGGATAAACTAATTGGAGCTTGTGTGTTCATTAAGATAGATTTAAGGTTAGGATACCATCAGATTAGAGT